ATAGATTGATCTATAATTGCTTAAGTGCTTCGTCTTTCTCTATTTCAACCACTAGGTTGTTCCTTCATTAATGTATCCTATAGCTATTATAGCCTGCATAACTATTCATAACCTCAATTACTGGTTTTCATATAAGTAGAGTTTCGAGACTACCAGTAAATAAGTAATATGAGATGTATTTACCCAAGTTCGTTTAGGGTGATGAAGGACTGTAGTACAATCTTCCCACAATGCTATGTGTAGGGCTGCAGTTTCCATTGAATTTCAAATAGCCTTACTTTCCCGAAAGTTGTGGTTAACGTGTCAGGCTCCAATTCGGCACTGTCACGGTTCGACTCTTAGGGGGAAGTTGCTAAGACCGATGTGAGGTCGAAACTTCAGTCCAACCTGGATGAGTACAACATTTAGGAAAGCAAGCTAAGTGAAATTCAATTGTAACTTCAGAAATGCTCATATAATTGTGGGAAAATTCTACTATCAATCCTTTATAATCTTAAACGAAATTGGGTGAATACATCTATATTACTGTGTCTAAAACTGTTAGTGCTTAATTTTTTGTAGCATTTTAAATAAATAATGCACTTATTATTCTTAAATCGTGATTTATGTGATTTAAAGTAGACCTATTTAGTAAATGGTTATCCTTTTTTTCTTTAAAATACTTGAAATTGATAACTACACCATGAATTAATAGTTTGGTCACATTTGGCGCTTGCTTCATAACTGCCGCATTTACTACGTCAATAGTTCGGTTCTTCTCCTTCTCTTCGATGGTCGAGATTATTCAGCGAAACCGTAACCTCAAAGAAATTGTTGATAATTTGGAGGATTATGCAGATGTTGTAAGCTGATTTTGCGGCCTTAATAAATATTCTTGTTACTGCTGCTACATTTAATTTATCCTTAGGTCGTACGCAAACTCCGTCGGTACATCCCTCATGTTGCTCGTATTTGTCTTATATCTACGTTTATTGACGATGGTTGGCGGTTACTCACACAATGGGGTGAGCAAGTGGATTACATTAAGTCAATATGGAATTCTCCTTATTTGGTGGCTGCAGTGTTTATTTTTGCCAATATAATAACTCAATTCATTGGCAGCGGTTTCATTATTGGGCGCTACAAAGTTAAGATTGGAGTTGGAATCTTAATGCTGACTGTCTTAATACAGGTGATTTGGATTTTTCCATTATTTCTTAATAATTTCATT